CTTCACTTTCTCATACTTTTTCTCAGTCTCCACGCGCTTCCGCCGCTCCTCCTCTACCTTCTCCTCGAGCGCTCGGTTCTTCTCCTGCAACCTCTTCATCTGCAAATCCACCTCCTTCCGCCGACTCACGGCCGCCTCCACCTCCACCTTCATCTGCTCCAGAAGATAAGTCAGCTTCCCCGCCCCAATGTCCTTCCCCGGACCGGAGGAGGACATGGACGAGGGAGGCATTTCGTGGTGGTGGACAGGACTGCTCTTCGGGGGCCCTGGCGTGGACGCCGGCCCGAAACCCGCCCGGTCCGGTCCTCCGGCTGCGACGCCCCCCGAGGCTCCTGGGAGATGCGGCGATGAATGGAAAAAACGCTCCATCTGCGAGAGTCGGTGCAGGATGAGGTCGTTCTGCTGGCGCAGGAGTCGCCATCCCGCCTGATCTTGGGGGGAACCCGCCTCCTGCGAGTAGGCGGGGGGCAAGCCGGGGGCGTACGGGCGCCCGCTTCCAGATTGACCCTCCCCTTGCGCCCGATAGTTTGCGATCTCGGACTGGGATCCATGCCCGATTCCCTCCATGTGCTGCATCGAAGTCGCTGGCCGCAGGTTCGTTCCTCCCGAGCCCCCCACCGCGTAAGGCGCCTCGAGCTGCTGGGCCGAGGACGCCCGTGGGAGCGAGTGGCCGTGCATGTGGTGGTGCCCGTGAGGATGGGGCGGGGGCCGTGAGTGGGGAAGCCCATGGCTCGATGCCCCTCCCAGGCCGCCTTGATGGGAGGGCGGATGCTCGGCGCGATGGCCTTGCTGATGGTGGCCGTGGGACTGATGAACGTGCGGGTGCGGGTCCATGTGCACGTGAGGGCTGGGTGTGCCGGGCGGATGATGCGCGGAGGGCCCTGAGCCCTCCATGCCCAAGTCAGGCAGTTCACGGATAGTGAACCGGCCTTTTTTCTCCCCTCCCGTCTTGCCCGATTTGCTCAGGGAATCCGTCAGGTCAGAGACCGTACTCATATCCACTGTCCCCATCCGGTGCGATGTATATGGATGAGGACTACTGGACGGGGAAGTATCATGTGTATGTACATGGGAACGTTCTGAGGCTTTGATTCTTCCCCCCACGATGTCTCCCTCAGGGTAGGACGCCTCCTCGACCTCGCCCGCTTCCACCTGTTTTACGCGGAAACGCCCTTTCCGCTCCGCCGGCATGCCTCCTCCTTCCCCTGGAAGGGTGCTACCAGTCGGGGCAGTAGTAATGGAGGAGGAGGAGGGCGAGCAGGACTCGGCCATAGGAGGAAGAGGTGAGGTCGACGAGAAACTGGGCGCTCTGTTCCTCCTGCGTGGGAATGCCCAGTGCCGACACGCACCTGTGGAGGAATGCAAGACGGTCGTTGAGTCAAGTATCCTGATGGTGTACATTGGACTCGATGGCGGCATATTTTTTGCCCCTGGTCGTTGTGCGTGTACATGTAAACTATCCACGACAGTGCCCTGAAGAACTCTTCCGGTTTCGCTCGAGAGGAGGCGAGGAGCACACCAAATGCACGCAATGCGTAGAACGCAGTAAACGGCGCTTTAAACCCTTCAATGCCACGCGAACGACAGATGAAGATGCTTCGTACTCTCGGGTGCAGATATTTCACGCGACTAGGGCGAGGACTCTCTGTCACGGCGTGCACGGGGTGGGAAGCACGGAGCCCGACAGCCTTTCTTGTGTCGGGCTCCTCCCTGCCCTGGCGCAATATTTACATGAACACGAGGAGGACAAACGAGATATCCTGTCACGAAAAAATACCGCAAGCAGCAAGATTACGAGTGGTACGCTCCAGGCATGTTGGGTGTGCGCATGGAGGCTCAAGAAAGTCGACAGGTGGTGCCACAATAACGAGATATATGGCTGGGATGCAGCCTCGCCGCGCTTTCTCAGGACAGGGCGGTGGCCAGGACGGCAATAAAACTTTCTTGGGGGAGCCTTTGGAGGTGACTCCCATGCCCTTCAATGCTGTGATGCTGGACACGGATAATATGCGGGTGACAGACACGAGCGACTTCACGACCCGCCTGTTGGTGACAGTCCAACAGCTCCGGAGGGAAGGCCGAAGCAGCATGTGGGTCCGTGTACACGCTTTGAACGGACATCTTCTGGGCGTGCTGGGGACATTTGGCTTCAAATGCCATCACTGTGAGCCAGAGTCGGTGATCATGAATTTGTGGTTGCAGCCGGGCAAGGAGAACAAGGTCCCTCCCTACGCGACCCATTTGGTGGGAGTGGCGGGCTTCTGTCAGAATAAGAAAGGAGAGGTCCTGCTCGTCAAGGAGGGCAGCAAGAATCTGAGTGGGTGGAAACTCCCGGGGGGCTACATTAATGTAAGCGATGGGTGCTGGGAAGGGATGTCTTGACTCAGCCCTCCTCTCAACCCCAACAGCGAGTGGTGCCGTTCCGTGCGTATGATGCGTCTTCCTTCCACCCCGACTCACACCCACGTCTATCCCACCGCACTTCGTGACCTAGCCCGGCGAAGAATTTGGAGCCGCGGCAGTGCGTGAAGTGGAGGAGGAGACTGGGGTCCGGTCCTCGTTCGAAGGCCTGTTGGCCCTCCGGCACCAGCACCAGCAGTCTTTCGGCGTCGACGACATCTACGTGGTCACGCGCCTGCAAGCCCTCACAGACGAGCTCCGTTTGTGCTCCTCAGAGATCCAGGATGCGCGCTGGGTGCCCCTGAAGCAGTTCCAAGACGAAGCCTCCCACCCGATCCTCAGGACCGTGGCCGAGCTCACGCGGGGGTGGGGCGAGGGGGAGGGGCCCGTCAGGGGGGTCATCGTGGAGCGGGAACACCCCTCGATTTTGCCGGGTCGCCCGCCCTACAAGCTATACCACGCGCCGCTCCTGGGGCAGTAGGCGGTGGGAGGGAAAGCGGATGGAAAGGGTTGAGGAATTTGTACAAAGCAGAGGAGAGGAAGGAAGATTTTCTTATCCGCAAACGAAAGGAAAAAATTGCAGCTCTGCCTTAGAGCCAAGCACTCAAAATATGAAAAAGTCCCAACACTCTAGCCCGGCATCGCCCTGCTTGTCACTCCCTCAAGGCATTCGTTTCAGCGTTGTCTACAGGCCTCCTCCTCCTCCCTCCCATGTCTTGTACACGCTCCTTTCCAGTCAATCGCATTTGCCTCTATACTGGCGTGGCGCTTCATTCTCGCTATCTTTACAAGCCCGAAACGGGAACCTTCAGCCCAGACTCTCCATTCACTCTGCTATCATCTCCTCTTCCCCCTTCCCTCCGCCCGCCCCCGCCCCCCTAC